GAATGCATAATTCAATTTACTTCTGCACACTGGAATGACTGTCAAAAAAAGTATTCTACCATCAAAAAAGAAATTGTTTCAATTGTTATGTGCATTATTAGTGCATAAGTGCATTACAAAATTTCAAAGCGACTTATTCAATCAAAAATTTCTACTCCGTATAGATTGTAAATCTTCAAAAGAAGTTTTACAAAAAGATGTACAAAACACTGCATCAAAACAAATATTTGCTAGATGGCAAGCAATTCTTAGTATTTTCCATTTTGATATAGAATTTATTATTAAAGGGGATCAACACTCAATTCCAGATTTACTGACAAGAGAGTTTCTCCAAAATAGGAACTGAGTGATGCCAAGAAAAGTACGAGGAAAAGAAGTCCAGCAAGACCAGTCGCAAAGCCCAAAAACAATTTCCTCAGCAAAACCCATCATATCTTCGGCGTAGGCAGTTGAAGAAAATGATGACGAAAATCCAAAAATATCCTCAAAACCAAATCCAAGAATGGCTCAACAAACAGGATCCACGTTACCAAAACATCCAGTCTTTAGAAGCTTCAATTGCAGAAGAAAAGCTTCGTTTTCAAAAGCTAGAGGAACTAAAGAAATTACAAGGTGAAATTGCAGGTCTTTCAAAGGCATTGCCATTTCCCCAAAACTCAAAAAAGGCAGAAGAATCATTCAAAACCCCTTCTCAAAAAGCAATTTTAAATATACATTTTTTTTTGAAAACCCTTGCAAAAGGAATTTTCGCAAATCACGTTGACAAAAACAAACTCTTCTATTACTACTTCCAAACCAAAATCTGAGTATTTTACCAAAACATATTTCCAAAATGTTTGGACGATTGAGGATCAATTCTTTGATAAAAACCCTCAATTGATCATATCAAAAAATTTCCCACAAGGGTGGCTTTTCAAACCATGGGGTTTATCAAAACCTCAGCCTTAGAGCAATTTTGGAATTGACGGAATCAGTGGTGGACTCGGTTCGGGCCGGGCTCGGTTCAGGCCGGGCCCGGTTCGGGGCTTGAACCGGCCGGGCCTCGATTCACGGTTTGGGAGGCCCCGAACCGGCCCGGATAACCCTTGGTCCGGTTCGGTTCAGGTCACCCGTCCGGTTCACGGGCTGGGCCGCCCGCCGGGCAGGGCTTTTTAATTTTTTTTTATTATATATTATATTATTAGAATAATTCTTATTACAATTACAATATATTATATTCTAATTCAAGTATATTTATTTCAAATAAGAAGTACAATTGAGAATTAGGATGAATTTAAAAAATGTAATACATTTTGTAATAAAAAATCAATCGGAATCTCCGCCTTCGGTTGTTTCCTCCATAAAGTGGCGGGTGGGAGCGATGGTAATTTCTTGAGTTCTTCGTTGGGCCTTCAACCAATCGTGAAAGCAAACTAGCGTCTCAAGAGAGCTCGGGCTCAACCTCGTTCAATAATCGGTTATGACGTTGCCGGCCGCACTAAATTCTTGTTCCACGGCAACGGTTGATATCGGCATTGCTAGCACTTGCTTAGCCATCTTTGATAAAATCGGGAACGTTCTTTCATTTTCCTTCCACAACTTAAGAACGTCAAAGTCATCACCAACTTCATTATCAACATTCAATGTTAGATACAAAGAAAGCTCGTTACCTGAGCTTTGTTCAGTAGCGGGAGTTGCTCTACTTTTTTTCAAAAGAGAACCAAAAGCGGATTTTAAAAGTGATTTTCCTTTAGATGAAGAAGATGTTCGTTGCATGGGAGGGGGTGCGTTACCATATTGTGCATGAAATTCATTATACAATTGATGAAATAAATTACTAACCTCGTTGAATTCTTGTTTAGGGTCGATGGGATTATCATGGAACTCTTGAATTGGAAAAAAGAAGAATAATAGTAATCTATACAATTTGTCAAGTAAGCAAGTTTATAACGAGGATCAAGAACAAATGCAATACCATATATATGCGGAATATGTGAATAATATTTTAAAAACTTTTGTTTCATGAAATCACAAAAATAACTAACGTAAGTGGCTTCGGAAAATTCACAAAAAGCGTCGGCGAGATTAACAGTTTCAACAAAAAATTCGTTTGCGGTAGGTTTATAAACATGACTAAAAGTTTGAGTTGCGTTATTAAAATATGTCAAAACATTAACAATTTTTTCACAAATGTCGATGTCAGCCGGGTTTATAATATAGTTACAAGTTTGTCTTAAAAAAGCAGGAAAATGATCTTTATATCTAATAAGTACTTGAATTAAATTATAAGTACTATTCCAACGAATAGACAAATCTTTAGGAAAAGCACAATAATTGACACGTCTATCCTTCAAATATTGTCGTCATTGCATTTTTAGTGGAGTGTTAGCCCAAATCAATTTAATTCCCCCCTTCACTACCTCCAAAGCATTTCCTAATGCAAGCCATCTTGTACACACAAATTTAGAATATGACATGCACAACGTTGATGAAAAACCCTACCCATCAATGTAGAAGCACCACACAATTCACGTAATCTAGGTATAGCAGCAGTATTATTACTAGCATTATCAAAATCTACAGCAAACACCTTATCAATCAAATTATACTCAACTAAAATACGTTCAATGAGAATATAAATATTATCAGCAGTGTGACGATCATTGAATTCACGAAAAGCAAGAACACGTTTATGCATATTCCAATCATCATTAATATAATGTGCAGTAAGACCCAAATAATATAAATGATGATAAGTATCCTCCCATATATCGCTACAAATACTAACACGTCCATCAAAGTTTGCGAAAAATGTTTGTAATTTTTCTTTTTACAAGTTATATTGTCTTATAACTTCTTTTTTAATCGTTTTGCGACTATAATTTCTAAATTGAGGATTTAAAGTACCTTGAGCATAATCTCTTAAAGCAAGACTTTCGGAAAAAATATAGGGTAAATTTTCTTCAACAATTAAATGAGACATACCAGTCAAATGTTTTTTATCATCATAGGAGAAATTACCAAAGGGTTGAGAATTTGCAAACCTCGATATTTGTGTTTGCTTCCCCTTGCCTTTGTCTATTTTCGCATACTCCACAAAGTGAGCGTACCATTTTTCGGTATTTTCGTCTTTCCTTTTTGTATAATTGTTTTCAATAATAGGAGATTTATATTTCTTACCAATTTGGGTTGAAGTCGTTGAACGGCCCTCATCCTCCAACTCTTGGTCATCATCGGGGGTGCCGTGAGTCCCGTCGCCCCCCGCGTCCTCCTCCGCATCGTCATCCTCGAGCTCCTCTTCATCAATGGTTGTCGGGAATTGTTGTTCTTGTGCAAAGCGTGGGTCATTTTGGGACAATAGGTGTTGTAGTTGCTCGTCGGCATCATCATATCATCTCGCTGTTGGTAATCCGTTTCAAAATCATCTCGACTTTGAAAAGAAGGCTCGGCCCTCGCTTTACCTTTGACTTTGCGTGAAGTAGATCGAGTCGATGCAATCTCCCTCTTGTGGTTGCATTAGAGATTACCCACATCTACATAATGTCTACCAGGCTCCATCTTTAAAATTGAACAAATATTAAATGATATCAAATATTTTATATGAGTACAATATTTAACTACTATTTTCACTTTAATGAGAAATGTAGAAATTAACTAATATGAGAAATGTAAAAATTAAATACTATTTTTACTTTAATGAGAAATGTACCAATTAACTAATATGAGAAATGTAAAAATTAACTACTTTTTTTACTTTAATGAGAAATGTAGCAAATAACTAATATGAGAAATGTAAAAATTAACTACTTTTTTTAACTTTAATGAACAATGTAGCAATTAACTAATATTAATATGAGAAATGTAACAATTAAGTAGTTTAACTAATATTAATATGACAAATGAAACAATTAACTTTAACTACTTTAACTAATATTAATATGACAAATGAAACAATTAACTACTTTAACTAATATTAATATGACAAATGAAACAATTAACTACTTTAACTAATATTAATATGACAAATGAAACAATTAAGTAATTTAATAGATAAACGAGAAGTCTCACAATTAACTACTTTTATAAAATGTATGAATGTGTATAAGTCTATATCAATGAGTATAAGTATATATAGTATATATAATGTGTAAATATATTATAAGTAATATATAATATAATGTATAACTATATATAGTATATATAATATGAATGTGCATAAGTATATATTTATAAGTAGATAATTAATATATAAGTAGATATAATAACTATATAAATTATATATATGTAGAAAGAATTTGGAGAAGATGAAGAATGAAGATGATTGAATATGAGAGATTGAGAGTAGAGAATTTAGAGAGTAAGAAGAGTTGTAGAAGAAGAGGTGTAAAAAATGTATAGAAAATAGGAGTATAAATAGGTTTTTTTTTGTATACCCCACCCCCACCCCACCTCCTATGCTCCCAACGGCTATAGAGCCGTTTGGGAGCTCTCCCAACGGCTATAGAGCCTTTAACTATTAAAAATCTGACCGTTGCGGCCCAGACCGGGCCCGGCCGGTTCACTAAAATGCAAGCCCGAGACCGAACCGCTATCACACCGGGCCGGGTGGTCCGAACCGGGCACCAACCGGTTCACCGGGCCGGTCCGGGCCCGCACAGTAGCGGGTCGGTCTGGTTCCGGACCGGTTGGCCCGGCCCGAGTCCATCCCTAGACGGAATCCGTCACCTTCACTGATCACCCAAAAACAGGTCATGTACAATACTCAACGGTAAAAATACACAAAAACCGTTTCCCTTAGACTTCAAAACTACTATCAACCACTGCAAAAACTTTACATACTGGGACTATCAACAAGCCATTGGGACAGGAACTAGGCCCGGGACCGCCGGTTACCCAGTCGGGTACTCGGTCTTGAATCGGGGCCGAAAAATGGACCTAGTCCGGTCCTACACAGTACCGAACCCAGTTCTGGGTGCACCCCTAGGCCCTAGGTGCAGCACATTTGTTCAAAGTACAACTGCTAATTCTCAATATTGCCATTTATAAATGATTTCGAAATACTGATTAACAAACCAGAGGATGATGCATATACATAGTTTCCAAAGCATTGTTGTACACTAACACTGTCAAGAGAACCACTAATAATAAAATTTCTTGATAATGTCCGGTGGGGCACATTACTGTCGGTGAAGGCATGTACTTTGAGAAAAGAATTTCTAAGGCTATATATATGAGGCCTTTCTAATAATGATCACTCATTGACAAATGTTCCTGATTATAATTATCAACTTTTCACATCTGATTTTGATGGGGGTAATGTTCTGAACACTCTATCCCACAATGAGGAGGTGATACCGAAACCTTTGTCCTGGATGCGAAAATGGTGATTCAGGTGATATTTCTGCATGATCAAGGTAAGTGTCCCATCAGCAGGTAGATCCACATCAATGGGGTAGATACACAATTTACTTATAAAAAGATGAAAATGGATGGATGGTGTTCACATTGCACCAAATTGATGAAATAGCACTTGACTTGGTAGAAAGTGTGCACCACAAATGTGAAGTATTGTAAGTTTGGGGGCAGCGCAAACAAACTCAAATGGATATCAAAATAACAGAAATAATCAATTACTGTGGCTTGAAGACTTTAAATAACAGAAAGTGTGCACCAAAAATTGCTGACAGACCTAGAAAACTTGAAGACTCGTGAAAATGAAAACTGAATACCAAGTGGAATTTCACTACATGTCCACTAACCTTAAGATTTCTTGGCATGTTACTTTTTGGTCGCCCATGGTGCAAGTAGTAATGTGTTACATCATACATCACATAGCCCAGTAAACCTCCTCCGAACAAAGCAGGAGTAGTAGAAGGAGTGGAGAAGACCTTTACCAAGTTCCAGAACTGTAAGAAAGAAGCCTAGAGGATCAGTCTATTACTAATCAAAGATAACAACCATAGACATTCTGAAGTAGCATGCTCACAAAGCAGATTATATAGTTTGAATATACAGAGTAACATTCAGGGCGTTAACATGATGCTCTTGCCATGAAAAGATGAATAGAAATAAAATCATTCAATAATGTTATTCTTGTAGAAAGAAAGTCCAAAGCATGAACAGTTGGCAGAGAGCTACTAAATCTCAATATTAATAATACTACATCATTTACAGTCAAAGTATCTTCAATATATTTTTTTCTATATATTACAAGTGAACACATGAAGGGGAGACTTGGCACACTGGTTATGGTATTGCTGTGTTTGAGAGGTCACAGGTTCAAGTTTTGGGAGCGGCTCTTGTTAAAATGACAAGAGAAGGTCTGCCCCCTTATACACCTTTGTGGTGGGAGTTGTGGGACCCTTCCCCGGACTCTTTCCTTGCGGGGACACTAATGTGCACTAGGCTGCCCCTGTTTTATTATTATAAGTGAACACGTGCGACTCTTCTCTACTTCAGAATCAAGTCTGTTTGAAAAATAAACACCCTGCTAAATGTCTTTTTGAATTAAATGTGTGAGACGTGTAGAATTATAACTAGATACATTTGAACATGCATGCATAGGAAGAGCTTCTTAGATTGAAGCACCAGAGAGATCCGGTTCAAATATCTGAATGTGCAAGCATCTGATATACAGCATGCAAAAGCAATATTTAAGTGGAATAAAAAATTGGCAAGGATGGTTCTACAATTACAATGTCCAATAAATAAACTAAAGTTAAGTGAAATGTCTATAAGCATTGCGTTATAATAAGACATCATTAAATGTCAGAACTTGATACTTCACCCGGAAATATAAAAAAAAAACTTGAGTCACTCTTACATTAGCACCCATTGCCTAAAACAGGCATTGCTCAGTATTGCAAATATTTGAGGTCAATTCACATGCAATATGTATATCATGTAGGGTTAGTTTAGTTGTCAGCATTTTCATCAAAATACTGTTTACTAGATTCTGCAGTATTCTCTTTGAGCTCAGATGCAGTGTTTGATGAGAATGCTAAAAACCAAAGACCCCAATAACAACAACATCCTAGCCTTAGTTCCAAAAGATTTTGGGTCAGCTAACATGAATTGATACATGATATCGGAACTACAAGGAAAAGAAAGATAAAAAAGATAAGCTAGGATAAAAAAGATAATATAAAAGAGAAATAGAGTATACATAAAAATGATAAAATAAAAGAATAAAATGAATATATATATATATATATATATAAAGATCAAAGATATAAAAACATAAGAAAGAAAAAGAAGATGGATGATATTAGATCACTCTGCCACACGAATACCCTCATCCAACTCATCCAACACATGAAGAAGCATATCACATCTAACTCCTCTAATCCACGTCTGTTTAGGTCTTCCTCTCCCTCTCTTCCCTGCCTCTTCTCCACACCTCTCAGCTCGCCTAACAGGTGCATCACTTGGTCTTCTATGCACATGACAAATCCACCGCAAGCGAGACTCCCACATCTTATCTTCACTAGGTGCTACTCTCACTTTTTGTCTAATTATCTCATTCCTCAAGCGGTCCTTTCTATTATGTCCACACATCCAACGCAGCATGCGCATCTCTGTCACTCTCATCTTTTGAATGTCACATTATTTTATTGTCCAACACTTTACACCATATAGTAATGCAGGCCTAATTGATGTCTTATAAAATTTACCCTTCATCCAGTTTGTTCTGATTGTATGGGATACACCTCCGTCTAATTCACCATCTTTCTGAATTATGGAGCCCAAATAACGAAACATATCACTGATCGGTATCTCCTTACCATCTAGAGTAATTTCGTTATTACCACTGCTTCCACCTCCACCAAGCTTGCACTCCATGTACTCAATTTTGCTTTCACTCAGTCTGAAACTCGTGTTCTCCAATGTTTGTCGTCATACTTTCAATTTTAATTTAACACCTAATTGCGTCTCATCAATCAATACAATATCATCAGCAAACATCATGCATCACAGTATACTGTCTTGAATTAACTTTGTAAGTTCATCCATGACTATGGGCCATGGCAAATAAGAATGGACTGAAAACCGATCCTTGGTGCACTCTAATAGTAATAGGGAGCTCCACAGTCCTCCCTACACTAGTACGAACACTTGTAATACAATCCTCATATATATCCATGAAGATGCTGATGTACTTGCGTGATATGCCTTTTCTAGTTAAGGCTCACCAAAGAACTTCTCGAGGTACCCTATCATGTGCCTTTTCTAGATCATTAAACACCAAATGCAGATCCTCATTAGTGTCTCTATACTTCTTCACAAGTTGCCGAAGAAGGTGAATGGCTTCAGTTGGTAGCGACCAGGCGTAAAACTGAATTGACTCTCTGAAATCATCACATTTCTTCGGAGTCTTTGCTCAATCACTTGCTCCCAAAGTTTCATGGTATGACTCATGAGCTAGATCCCTTAATAGTTGACACATTCTTGTATGTCCCCCTTATTCTCAAATAAGGAAGGAGAAAATATATTTATAGACTTGTTGCCATTTTCGTACGTCACCCTCATAGTTGACACTTCTGTCGTTTGGATCCTTCTCACAAAATCCTGATTTACCATACAATCTGGTATGGTCAAATCACCAATATCTTGCGCTTTATTATCATTGAATAATGTATTAAAGTATGACCTCCACCTCTCTTTTATTTCTCTGTCCATTAGTATCCTTTGATTGGCATCCTTCACACACTTAACTTTTTCGATATCTTGTGTCTTACGATCACAAAGACGAGCAAGTCTATAAATATATTTTTCTCCTTCCTTAGAGTCCAACTTTGCATACAACTCCTTGTTCACTTGCCCTCGTGCTTCCTTTACAACTTTTTTTACTTGTCTTTTAGCCTCTTTGTATGCTTCGATGTTCTCATCACTCCAACTTGTTCCCAACTTTTTGTAGCAATCCCTTTTGTTCCTTATGGCTTGTTTCACCTCATCATTCCACCTCATGAGCACAAAACAATTGCATCCACAAGGGGTTAAACGTATAACGTATTAACATGTATGGATAATTTCCACAGAAGCGATTCTTTTTTACAGAATCATCAAGATCCTCCACGAAGGACGCAAAAGCCTATGTTAAAGGAGGAGTAACAACTGAAGCAAGTTTTTCTAGAAGCTGCAAGATCTATAATAGCACTTACAAGAGCCTTTGTTTTGTCAATTACTAGACATTCAATTCTCTCAGCCTTTTCCCAGGCAGTCTTGCCAACACATGTACTGAATTGCACTGTGTTGGACTATTGTCATTAGTGAGGCGCCATTATTCCTGGCTTCCTGTTTAAGGGATGGAGGTGCTGATACATAAATTCGTTCTTATCACTGTTCTTCGGATCACATGAAAAGCCCAATGGCTTGGCTATTAAGCAACTCACGCAATCCAATAAAGGAACACACACGCCAGTCTAATGGCTAGTACAGAAAGACCATACAAGCTAACTCATAGCAAGAGCTGCTGGCTCAGCAGTTCTTTTCTTTTTTCTTTTCTCTGTCGGCAGCAGTATTGGGTAAAATTGTACAAATCAAGGGTTCTGCTGGATAGGTTTCAGTACTTTCATATTCCTCCAGCCACATTCTATTTTTGTAAGTTTCACGATGGGAAAGGTAAAAAACAGAAATCGTAAGGACAAAAAAGAAAAGGGCCTTGGACAATAGAAAGTGGCATCCAACCTTTTTTTCTTTTATTTTTCCATGTCAGAAAGGGCATTGAAATTATAGGCGTAAAACTGGAGATAACATGATGTTCTGTTGGATAGGTTTCATTAGTTTCAGATTTCTCCAGCCACATATTCTTTTTGTAATTTCCTTGACGGGAAAAATAAATAAAAAACAGAAAAGGCAGGGGAAAAAAGAAAAGAAAAGAGCCCTAGACACTATAAGCTGGCGTCCAACCTTGTTGGGCTCCAAGGATTAAATCTAAAATTATTGATGACATTAGTCGAAAAGTCTTGGCGGACCAGTAAAATTGGGACTAAAGTAACTCAACCTATTATTACCTATGTGCCACTAAAATTAGGACATGATGAAGTGCCACGGTTATTAAGAAAAGTACAATTATTTGGTTGTTATTGAATTGTAAGATTAGAGCATGACTAAAGCAAGATGACTTAGAACCATGAGACCGACTTAGTGGAACAGACAAAAAATGAATCACGGGATAAATATAATGGAATGAAGAGGGTATAAAAAAGCTATTAGTGATAATAACTAAAATAGAATACCTATACTAGTTACTAGTGGGAAACAACCACAACCACAACCACAACCACAACCACAACCACAACCACAACCACAACCACAACCACAACCACAACCACAACCACAACCACAACCACAACCACAACCATAACAACAACAACAACAACACAATAATAAAATCATAAAAGTAATAATAATCATGAGGCATGCCCACATTACACTTACTGGGACACATAAGACAGCAGCAGCAGCGGGAGGGAATACAAGACGTAGCCCATCCATAGGGTGCTTGTGATGACAGCCATGAATAAGATAATGAAAGGTATTTCCCCTGTGGAAAGTGACAGTATAATCACAAAATTAATCAACAGAGGGCCGGGAATAAAGATAGAACTCAGCAAGAGATGCGAAAAGACACAACAACTTACCAATAGCTCTTTGTCTTGATATGGAAAAGGAAACGGTGAAGAATGTATTCTACCAGTGTCCAAATGAAAATACCCAGTACCACCATTTGTGCCACTTGAGGAAGGGTGTGACCCATCCTAAAAGACATTGAAATGAACCAGCATACGACTGGGAGCCAAACAAGAGGAATTACCCACCATACAGTGCGGGTGAGAAACTGTTCCAATATATAACAGCATTAGTATAGCAATGATGGTGACAATACATCAAACTTTACCACGAAAGCGCATCAAAAAGTAGAAAAAGGGCATGTATATTTGTAGTCCCTTTGTGAGTAAGCTTAAGTAATTCCATTCATGGCAGCAATAATGTAATATTGATCTCAAACAAATCCATAAGTATCTTTTTGAGGTGTTAAGAGTGGTATACCTCCCAAAAGTCACTCTCAAAGAAACGAGGGCCTTCTCTACTAACAATAGGCTGATGAACCCACTCCTCATAAGCTTCTCCAAGGTGGCCAACCTGCACACCATTCCAACCAGTCACAATTGCAATCGAGCAATCAAATTAACATGAAAAAGAACACAATTCCTCCCGGCTACTCTCAAGCACGAATAGAAGCAAAAGACCGGGTTGCAAGTTTGCAAAACACAGATGACATCAAAGAGGATACCGAAAACAGAGAAGGGAAATTTCGCATCCGCACAAAAAAAATGTTGTTTTTACCTGAAAGACGAGGGGTTTATTCAGATCCACGGTGAATCCCTGCGCAACCATGGTGGAATTCCGAGCAAAGCTGACGTAAAAATCACAACAAAGAACATATATCGTCAGCAAATTCATAATGTGGCGCGTTTCCTCCCCACTCGATCTTCACTTGCCACTTCATTTTCCAAGATTAATTGAATACGGAAGACTAAAATCTACTTCAAAAAAGGAGGAAAGAAAACCAAATTGATGGAGAATAGGATGAGGAAGAAAGGAATAACCTTTAAGATAAATGTTGGCGTTAGATCTACAAAATGGAGGTCTCGTTTGAAGGCGAGCGGAGGCGGGGATAGCGAAGCAAAGGAGAGTTTGGGAGTGGCATCTATAGCATTCGGGTGGATTCTGATACTGTGGGGCCATCCAGTCTAGTCTAGTCTAGCCACAACGTGTAGAATGCTCGACCAGGCTGGCTGGAAGTCGCATCGAGACAACTCATCTGCTTAACCACTGCATCTACTATTTTACGGAATAATTTTTTATATTCCAGAGAGGGTCCACCGGCTATGCCATACAACGTAACGGGAAGGTACCGGTAAAACCGCCTACAAGACATCGTTATCTTGATGGAGGCAGAAATGAGAAATTGACAAATTAGGGGAAGGGGTTTTCTGGAAAAAACACGAAAACAATTTTCGTGAAAAAAATTTGCTTAAAAAACTGGATAAAGAAAAATAGAAAAATATGTTTATCAAATCAAACAATGATATATGTCTCGTTTTTCTTAAATAATTGGATAGTGAGTTTTACTAGTTTTCAAATTTAACATGTGCGGACGCTGCAGTGCTAATGCAATAAATGCGCTTACTTCCACATTAGTAGTCCCACCTAGTGGTGGACTCGGTCCCACTGCAAGATCGGCTCCGGTCGATGACTCAGCGGTTTTTGCCTGATCTATTCGATGACCCAACAGTCCTTGCCCCGGTATAGTCCCCAATTTTTAAAAATCATTTTCTTAAAGCGAAGAGTTTCAAAACAACAGTTGAGTAGCCAATCAACAGGGAAAGGGAAAATAATTAGTCAAACTAGCCGTTAGGATTGACCAGGACCGGTTGGTTTCGGTCTCAACTTCCCTATGCTCGGGGACCGGGTACCCTTATTTGGGTAGTACCAGGCCCGGTTCCGGATCGGGATTGTACTTTCGATGTTCCGTCTGGTCTTAGAATTGGGTGGAAAAAACGGTGAACATGTTTTCAATTTGAAAATAGAAACAAGAAAATGAAAATAGAAAATTGGAGAACAGAAAACAGAAAATAAATTGGGAAATATCTTTGTTAGTAAACGACCCTAAAACTTCACTATATTGTTTACTGCCTATAAATATTTATATATATGTATATACATAATAAAAAAATCTTGTGGGGTTGAGGCCTGCTCTAGCCTCTCAGTCCCACCCCTATATCCCTATATCTATAACTTATAATTGAGTAGTCTTCGTGTCTAGCCGGTCTGACAGGGAACCGCCGTCCGGCTAAGGCTGTTTCAGGCTCTTCTGGGAGAATTTTTTGATAATTTTTTTTGTGTGTGCTATTCATCAAGTCTAGTTTGTTCCCACTAAATTTTAGCTAAAAATTCAATCATGAATACAGTTAAATAAATTATTTAAGAAAACTGCGCAGTTAAATATGTATTATTCAAAATATTATTTGATTGCCTTTCCTATGGAAATTTTAGCTGAGATTTGGTTGACATAACTAGACTTGATGAAGAACATGTTCAAAAAAAATTCTATAAAAAAATTCCTCCGGGAAGGGCCTGAAACAGCCTCGGCCGGACGGCGGTTCCCGTCAAACTGACTGGACATGAAGATTTGTCACTTATATTTATGACAAAACTTTACCAATTTACTTGGGAAATAATGATAGCAATGACAGCGAGGAGAAGCGGCTACGATGGTTCGGATTTCAGGGAACCTTCTAGTGGTATGGCGACTGTATTTATAGACATTTACATCTAAACACCTGGCGAGGCAAAGTATATGGCAGTAGTGGTGTAGGCTGTGGGAGGAGTTTGGAGAGGGGATGGAATGGGTTACGAGTAGACTGATGGAGTGATGTAGCGACTGGGGCTATGGACCATGGTGTGGGAGTGGTGCGGTGATCACTTGTCGCGGCGGCGCTACTCACTAGCTGAGACGGCTCTGGTCACTGATTTGAGGTGATGTGTCAGGATGGCATCGGATAAATCCTCTTAGAAGAGCTTTTTTGGAGAGAATGGTAATACTTGATACTCTTATCATCTTCCAATAGGTGAAGGACCTTTGCTTTTTGATGATAAAACATCCTTTCAGCTTCAACAAAAAATACTCTCTCCGTCTCATATTTATCTTCACAAGTACAATTGACACACATATTAAGATAGTGAGAATTGTGTGGTGGAAAGTTGTACGGAGGAAAGAAGAATGTGTAAGAATGTGTAAGAATGTGTAAGAATGGTTGTGAACCACAAAATCTTTGCTAAAAAGGGAAAGAGAAGATAAATTTGGGATAGACCGAAAAGGAAAGTACGAAGATAATTCCGAGACAGGGAGAGTAACTTTCATCCTAGATTTGGTCACCGTCTTGAGTAGGATGGCATTGGATAAATCCTCTAAAGGTGTGTTTGGGAGTTTGGAGGGGAGGGGAAAGCATGTGAGGGAAATAAACCCTCCTATTTTTGTTTGAGAGTTCAAATAATATGAGGGAAAGGTTTTGGGGTGTTATAAAATCATTCTAAGTCCTCCAAAACCTTTGTTTTCTGATTTTCCCGATTTGAGGGTTTTCTAAGGTTTAGCTACACAAATGACATATTTATCCTCTGAAACTAATACAGTTTCCGCATAAAAATTTTATGAGCTGCTACTCGCTTTATTTTTCCGTCACTGAAACACCTCAAGTCCCAAAACCCTCCACTTTTGAAATTTGAACTCCCAAATAAGAGGAGGGAATCCCTTCCCATCTCCCTCCCCTTCCCTTCTCTCTACTTCCCTTCAAAACCTTCCACTTCCCTCACCCTCAAACTCTCAAACACACCCTAAGAGTTTCTTGTGGTCACCTTCGTTGTCTTCTTTATTTTTTCTTGATCTGGCATAAATGTGAGCAAAGTCATTTCTAATTTCAATTCAGCTCCTTTAATGGAATTTTCAAGGATGTCCGTTTACATCACAATTTTTTTTTGCTTAGTGCCATAACTAGGCTTCTCCCAAACCTCAAGTAAAATATCCCTAAATTTTGGGAATTGAGTAACATGTTGAAGAACTAAAACGGTCTCCCCGTCCCATTTCATTCTGAACTAATGAGATGATCACTAGGCAATGGTCAGAAGCCACATCAAATCCCAAGAAATCAGCATGACATAACAACCTTTGATCCCTCCGATACCGGTTAGCAAGGATTCTATCTAGCTTCCCCCACTCATGACTCATCCAATGAATAAATCTCTAGAGGTCGGTGCATAAATTGTCCAAAAATGATAAGTGGAAAGAATTGTTTTGGAAGGCCCAAAAAAGAAAGTGGGAAGAATTTTATGGGACAGAGGGAGTACAACATACTCCCTCCGGTTCCAAACGATCTTGACACTTTGACTTCACAGTTTTTAAGAAAATAAATTTGACTTCACTGTATAGTACACTGTTTGGTACGGTTTAGCACTGTTTGGCACTGTTTGTGTAGATTTATTTGCCAAATAAGGCGAATAAGGAAGTGTAAAGATAATTGTGGTACTAATAAAAATGAAAAGTGTAAAGATCTTTCAGAACCGGATGGAGTAGAATAGTAACAAAGGAAAAGAGTTGGGAGATCAAACTTTTTAGCCTACAAATGATGAACCGTGGCCCACTTTCATGGGATCACCTCACCCTAGAAGGATCCATACATATAGCCATTCTACCACCTTCCATATTGTAACTGTAACACACCGCCCCCGCAGGACCCGAGGTAGTTATTCCTTCACACCCTCCGGATCTCTAGTACTGTCCTCACAAACCGTCACTAGCTTTTTCCGCGCACTTTGTCCTCACTCGTGCGCGCCCTGAGAAACTTCCCAGGGGTCATCCATTCCAAGACTACTCCCGTGCAAGCACGCTTAACTTTGGAGTTCTTGGGTGATGAACTCCCTTAAAAGGAGATGCACCTTTGTTGGTAGGAGTAGAACTATTAAATCTGTTTAATTTAAATCTCAAGTGTTACAGTAACACCCCGACCCCGCGGGACTCGAGGTAGTGACTCCTAAATTTATCCAGACCCAATATTGTCCCCACAAATCAACACGAGCTTTTTATCGCACACTTTGTCCTCACGCCTGCGTGCTCTAAGAAACTTCCCAAGGGGACACCCATCCCAAGAATACTCTCGGGCGAGCACGCTTAACTTGAAGTTCTTAGCTGATGAACTACCTTAAAAGGAGATCCACCTAATTGATATCACCTGGATCAACACACAGTCGCAAGGTTGTTTTGATACCAGTGCACCTATAACACCCCAACCCCGCGGGGCCCGATGTAGATATTCCTAAATTCCCTCCAGACCCAGTACTGTCCCCAAAAACTAACACGAGCCTTTTATTGCGCACTTTGTCCTCACTCGTGCGCGCACTAAGAAACTTCCTAGGGGGTCACCCATCCCAAGAGGACCCCCGCGCAATCACGCTTAACTTAGAGTTCTTAACTGATGAGCTGCTTTAAAAGGAGATACACTTCATTGTTATGAGTAATACTATTAATCTCTTTTACACATATATAGTCAAAATGGTTCTCACCCTGTCAACTTATTATCCACGAAATACATCAACTTATCATTATCTATGATTTTAGTCTCTAATAAAGCGCAAAAAGCTATATCATATATATATATATATATATATATATATATATATATATATATATATATATATATATTTCCTTGAATAGTTTACAATAGTATTCTCTTTAAATTAGAGGTCTTAAATCAGAGGTCTTATTCATACCTTTTACATTCCAAGAGAGTAGTTTCATTTAATACAAGAGTTGGAAGTAATACTTCCCCACGCCCCTTCCAAATTTTCTAGATTGAACAACCTCATATTTAGTCCTAGGTTGTGTTAGAACCGGGGGTAATATTATTATAATATAAGGGTGTATAAATATGGTTGGACCGGATATCACTTCTAGTCACGTATTAAATACGTTTTACTAGAAGTTTACTATCTACCCTTATCACAGTAACCGAGTTACAAGATAGAATTTTTGGGATAAAAATTCATCACTGTCCACGGAGAAATCCTCCGATAGCTCTTTAAGGAACATAGTTTTTCCATACAAGACATAGGGCCCTTCGGAAAGCACTTTCGTTCGGTCAACCTCGCATGGAAACTTGAAAATCACCCAACCCTTGCTATGAGTCTTAACCTGTACTTCCACTTCCCAAGCTTTGGTCATAGCGATTATAGCTTTCATCCCCGGAAACCTTCCCGAGAAATGGCCTACCAAGCAATAACCCCACACCTCAATGAGTGACGGTACCTTGAGATGTGAGAAATCTAATTTTTCTCCGGTAGGAGGGAAGTATTCAAGCTTTAATCCATATGAGGGGGCTCGGTTATCATGGAACAATTTAGACCATTGTTTATCACCACCCTCCTCCTTTTCAATTGGTTTCTTTGGCATGGTGTCTTGTGATCCTAGTGTGATAGATTCATCCTCTTCTTCTATAGTCACTTGATTCTCATCCGAAACCTCAATGGAACTTGTTTTAGCATTGGTAATAGAAATCTCATTTGTTGCCCCAACATTTGTTGAGGAGGAAATCCCCAAGAGTGCCTCCGCAAAAGAACCACCTCCCCCCGTTGTATGGGGGGCAAGAGATGGCTCCTTATTTGAAGCATCATCACCTTTAGCAATAGAAATAGCCAAGGAAGCCTCGGCCACAATAGTATCCTCAGGAGATGGAGTCTCAATCTCAGCGTTCGGGTCCAAAGAATCACCCCCAATGGAGTTGGAAGAGCCTTGTTGATCCGGTGTTGGTAAAACCTCCACCATGTCCACACTTTCACCTCTCTTTGCTTTCCTTTTTAGCTCAGCCGCTAATTTCTTAGCCTGTATGTACTTGGCCTTCTCTTCAAACTTAGCATCTTTTGGCGGGGGGGTACGGGTTTGCTTATTCTTCTTTGTCATCACAAAGAGAGAACCTGTAAACAGTACATTTCCAAACCCAAAAAAAAAGCTCCAGAAATTCTGGAATTAGTGTTAGAGATACCTCAAAGGATGATGAACACAAAGGTACAATCAGTTCCAGAAAACAGGTAGAAATGAAGCTAGAAAAAAATTTCTAACTAATTCTAAGTGTGTAGGAATTACTGTAGCAGGCAGAGTGTCCAAGAATTTTGTAAGTGTTCCAAAAATTCTCAAAAAAACTCTAGGAGATACCCCTCAATATGCTGAACAGCCTGGTATAGTTAGATTAAACAAAAACCAAGTATAGATACCTGGGCAGATGTTTAACTAGCGAAAATTACTGTAGCAGGCAGAAAGATTGGGATTTTTGGAAGTGCTCCAAAAAATCTCAAAAAAGTGTGGAAGATAGCCCTTGATATGGTGAGCAACCTACACTAGTTAGTTTCCACAAAAGAGCAGTACAGAAGCCAGGGGAATTACTTAACTAGTTTTTATTTCTCAGGAATTACTGTAGCATAATCCAGTAAATTGAGGAAGATGAACAGTAACTTACGAAATCAAAACTACTCAGAAAAAACCCAAAAAAAACAGCGAATGAACATAGGTGTGTACAAAAGTGTGTATAAGAGTGTGTACAAACATCATTTTTGCTGAATGTCACGTGAAATCCCTTCCCTTGGCACTTTCTGATTTCTTTGACTTTTCATCCGAGTTTGCTTTAATAACCTCCATATCTTTTTCATTTATTGTCACAACATTTGAAGAGTTTGCTTTGATATCCTTCTCTCTTTCCATTCTAAATCCTTCGCTTCCTCCCATTCTAAACCCCCAAATCTCCTACGTGAATGAACAATATTTAGACATGTATCTATTTTTTTAAGTAAGCTATCAAATAAAAATAAATTGAGAAAATATTTTCATTAAACCTCTCCTCCTATTTTCCTCCAACCAAACACAAATTTTTATCAAAATCCTTCCTTCCCTTCCATTCCCTTCCCTCCTTGACTCTCCCCTTCACTCTCCTCCCTTGAACCAAAGGAGGCTTTAAGTATAATGTAATGTATGCTATACATTCTCAAATTTTCATATAATGGGTAACCGGACATTTTTCTGCGTACAGAAGCAGCAAATACTAACCTGAAATCTAAGCAGACTCTCCATTATCCGAACACAAAAATCAAAACCCAGAATAAGAAAGAAACTTAGCGTAAAATTGCACTCATAAGCGGATAATACAGAAAGAGGCATTTTCATGAGCAATGAAGAATTTGATTCAAGAACTGAGTGTGTATATAATGTTAGCATAGTATGTCAAGCCTGCTTGTATCTGTAAATTTACATACAGGTCAGGGTACAGTTACCACCACAGTTGAATAATCACCAACCAAAGGTTGAATATTCCATCCAACAAAGTTAAATCCATCAAAGTTAAGGACTATTCTTACAGTAACAGATCTGTAAAACCATACGTTGTAATGGTTGTATAGTGAGTGTCGAGGAGGATAAGCATTTCTGTGGAATATAATTAAGAGATCTTCTTAGCTTTAATTAAACCTCTCCTTGTAGCTCTAGCTTCGATTGGTTTCGACAGGAAGCAGCATGTCAAGGTAAAGAAAAGAGCATAAATCCGGCCTCCCATAACCACACCAGCAAGAGCAACCATAACAAGAATCAGCAGCAGGTAACCACTACTCTCCCTTGTTTCTACACCTTGAGGAGAAAAGGGGGCATCTTTCGCCTCCTCATCATCGCATTCCAATTCAGTCTCTTTACGACGCGTTGGAGGCGGCTTAACTTCTCCAGTTACATTCTTCTTCTCCAATTTTGAGTCTTTTCGGGCCGTCTTCTTCGAAGGGAAAAGTTTCTTCATTTTTGATCGGATTTTAGCCCTGCGAGACTTTCCTCTCTTGGGTTGGGGACCCTCACCATGATCTTCCTCAATTAGGTCACCCATAGCACATCTGTCATCCAAAGATGGATCTTTATTTGCCTCATCCTCAACAATTTCGTGGATTTCATCCGTTGGGTCGTTCATCCCATCATCGCCGTCATCAAGAACAGCAACCTCTTCCTCTAGTTTAGAGGCTCTTCTACTGATGATAAATCTATGAGCGACAATCATCATCAACCTCAAATTCTCACGCGATTTCGTAAAAATTGCAGGTATCTCGTATTGAAACATGTTTCTAGCCAAGTAATCGAGTATGACTAATAGGAACGCCGATAATGTGATCCCGACCGCGAATTTCTTAGCTCCCAGAGCCAAACCTACCAACAGGAACATTGAAAGAACGCCCGAAAGCACTTTGTTGGAATTGGCTTCTCCATCTTGACCGCCGATGGCCAGACCTTCGTTTTCACGGGTTCCCGATGTAGCGATTGGGGTTTCAGATGGCGATGGAGGCGCCAGAGACGGTGGCAGAGGCAATAAAATTGGATCACCGGCACTCGGCTGCGGCGGCGAGCTTTTGTTATTGAAGCGGGCAGAGGGAGAGGGCTTCTTGAAGCGGTCGCGATGATTGACGATGAGATCAACAAGGGAAGTGGGAAAGCCGGTTTCGACGACCAGAGGCGAGGCGGCGGCGGCGTTCTTGCGTTGGTTGAATTGATCTTTCAGCATTTGGCAGATTATGGCGGTCCTCTTAGCCTTCTTCCACGACAGCCCCATCGATTCCTGCAAATCAACCCAAACAGAGAAAAAGATCCCTCCTTTAAGACTTGAAAGTGTAGGAACTTCGCGTCATCTTCGGAAGAAACAAGGACCGCCCGCCCGCCCGACAGATATTTGTGTCAGAATCAGAAGAATGAGGATGTCCGAGTACAGGGGTGTGTGTACTCGATCAGGCGGTGTGAAGACGACGACGATTCATAGGGGCGAAGAAAAAAATTAGTAAAAGAGAAGAGGTGGGTTTATCTGGTTCGGGCAAAGGTATGTATGGGGTAATAATCGTAAAACACAGAATCTTGAACCCTAATAAATCCGGCACTTCCAGGAAGTGGGAAGATATAGAGAGAGGGGGAAACATGGATTGGGGATATGGAAGGAGGGAGGGAGAGTGAGCTGTGCAATGAGAGCGAGCAGCCGACAAGTGTTACCAAGAAGCCAACACCTTTTATATGATTACTCATTACTCTGCCCCCGATTATTGTTCCCTTTTCTCCCTGTATCTATCCCAATCTTTTACTTCGTAACCTTGAAGGAGTACGTGTATCGTACAAATTGTTGTACCAATTGAAATTGAAATATACCAACATTTAGTTATCCAGATAAGCGTTCGAAATTGCATAAAAAAAGTCAAATAAGTCAAATAAGTTTCCATTTTCCCTTCTAACTTTCACCGATTTTCTCAAATAGTCTCATACGGAGTATATCTTTCATCTTTTTAGAAGTTTTTTCTTTCTTTTTATTCGTCGATGCGCTTTTTAATCCGTTTTTTTGCTTTCTTATTTTTATTTCTTTTCCATGTTTATGTATGCTATTCGCACTCTAGTAGTGACTTATGCTTTGAGGTGATCAACTGTTTCGATGATCACCATGGTGACCCATTACCAGGTGATAATTACACTACTACTACTACTACTACTACTACTACCACCACCACTACTACCACCACTACTACTACTACCACCACCACCACCACTACTACTACTACTACTACTACTATAGTGATCATCTTGAGGGCCCCCAACCTCGACCGGACGGTACGTTGGAAGGATGTAAATTGGACTATAATCCCAATCTGATAGATAGAGAGTGGAGCTCTGTCCCCGATATTTGCAGAAGCCCTATGCATTTTTAGCATAGTAACCCCTCATCGCAGTTGCCGGGATTCGAACCCGAGACTTAACCCTTGTGTCACTTCATTGGTATCAGTTGAGCTACGCTCACCGATGATAATTACACTGCAAGTGACCCCACATGCCGCCATCGTTGACACCGGTGAGTTGGTGACCTACGTGACAGTGTCCTTCCTCATCCACAAGCCCACCTTCCCACTCTAGCCCCCAAACTCCCCGACCACCACACCACACCCCACAACGTCCATAGCTAGCGCCCAACTTTAAGTGCACCATCACATCATCGTGATCTGGAACATGTCGTCAATTTGTAACTATAGTTGTGGTTTCATGAATTTTGCTTTTATAATGATAATAATACTAGTAAGTGGTCCAACACGGATTGTGGATAGAAAAAAAAATTAACATATAATGATTTTGGTTATTTCTCCTAGCAGGCTACCTCTTTAGAATGGAACTTTAAGTCTTAATGATATTAGAACAAATTAAGCTTTAATGATCCAGATAAGTCTCAATAACGAGCACACTGATTACAAGATTGGTCTGCTCCAACAAGCCACCATCTCACGGGACCGTATGAAGTTGTGTCACACTGGTTACAAATAGAAATATAAATCAATATATAAATCTTTAGGTTAATCCTCCTACCAAATGACCTTTTAGGATGGTTAAGATGGTTTCTAAGTTTTAATAAATACTCTACTATCGAGTGTTTATACTCACAAGACTTCTCGAATATAATGCCAACCTGCAACTAAACATATGACCATTCGTATTGAGGATCGGTCTAGAAGCGTGAGCAAAGAGGTATGTGTCGTGGTTCCATATCTCTACGAGGGCCCATTATGAGGCCGTTTGGCAACCGTCATATTCGGCTTATCAGATTTATCAGTCAACTTTTTTACCAAACACGTAAATTTTGATTTCGCGCGCTGAATTGTGTAATAAACCGAAAAAGTAAGGTTGAAGTTACTTTTCTGGCTGTATTGGCTGAAGTTACTGTAGATGACCATTTTAGCTATTTTTACATATAATTTTTTCTTTATTTTAATAATAAATAATTTTTTAAAAATATTTTTTTCTTGTATCAACAAAATCAGCCAATGCAGCCCAGAATCAGCCAGAACAGCCGATTTTCATGCTGCCAAACGGGCTCTATGTGTGTGTGAGTTTTACTTCAAATAAAAAGTGCATAAACATTTTGGTAACTAAATGTAAAACGTCATCCCAAAAAAGTGCATTATAGGATGGCAATGGAGCAACATATATGAGAAAAAGTACACTCATTTGAACTTTCTGGACACAATTTTTTATTTGAACCATATCCTATACACGAATGTGAATGTGTGTAGTATTTTATAGGCCTTTTTTACGCTACTTATTAATTGCGAGGATCGCACTTATTCACATCATGTTCAGTTTCTACTTCAACTTGTAATGAAATTGGTATTCACTAATGTTGGAAGAAAGAAAAAACATACGATGTTTAGGTTTGGTTAGATCCAAATTAGTTCATTTCTATTTGGATTTGTTATTTTTATGCGAAAATAGCTTTAAATAGTACGTCCTCCGTTACATTCTTAAATAAGCGAGCATGTTGAATTTTACACTATTCACATGTTATACTTGGACTACACTTTATTTATTTATATATTAATAAATCATTTTAGAAAAAATACTGTTTAATTTGTCTTATTGCAATTTTCAAAATCTGATTTTTTTAATCACTTTTACTAATAGCGAATTGTATATATTGATGTTCAAAGTTGTGCATCTTGGAGCAGAAGTAAAAGACATCACCCATAAACTGATAATAATACATACCTTCAAAATGATTTCTAATAATACCAATTATTTGAATATATAACAACAATAACATGGATCCATTTTTCGATAAGAAAATCAGTCATTTATGACACCAAAAACTCACATCAAACCATCAAATAAATGATATTTAAAAATAAGGTCACTTATTTGATATATCAATATTAATTTTTGATAAGTTAAAGGAATTTTATCAATTTGGGACCTGAAAGAGACAAATTATCAATCTGGTACCTGAAAGATGAAATGTATCAGTATAGGACGCGAAAGATGAAAAACTATCAATCTAGGACCTAACATTTCATAGGTTTTCATTTATTTAATTTTTTATTAACTCCTTTGCTAATATTTTGTCAAACTTTTTTTACAAAAGTTTATTAGTTTAATATAACTAAATATTATTTAAATTTTTTAAAATAAAAATAATAATAAAATTTATGAAAAGTTAGGTCCTAAATTGATAGTTTTCAATCATTCAGGTCCTAAATTGATAGTTTTCAATCATTCAGGTCCTAAATTGATAGTTTTTCATTATTCGAGTCCTATACTGATACGTTTCATCTTTCAGGTCCTATATTGATAATTCGTCTACCTTCCAGGTCCCGAATCGATAAAATTGCTAAGTTAAATGATTGAATTTGTAGTAATAAAATGGTTGTATATGACTTTAGTTAAATAGTCAAATGGTTAATATTATTAAAATCATTTTAAAAGTACGTATTATTCTTGTTTCATGGAACATAATTTGTATTATTTAAAATTATTTTTTCCTATTGTATACTGTATTAAGATTTATCGAATACTTCCGTACTTTAGTCCAATTCATCTATAGTCAGTTTTTCTTGATTTCAATTTGATCGGATTCAATACAATGTGGAATAAATATTGCTATACATGAATCGAATGAGTTGGACTTGGGGTACACACTTTTTGTGTACACACTTTTTACACATGTCTGTGTAAGGTTTTTTTATGTCTGTACAGACATAACGTATTTTAAAAGTGTGTAAAAAGTGGGGTAAAAATACGTTATGTCTGTGTACACACTTTAAAATCGAACTCTAGACAATTCGATTCGAAAAATTAGAAAGGTACACACTTTTTTGTGTACACACTTTTTACACATGTCTGTGTAATGTTTTACACGCTTTTTGTGTACACACTTTTTACACATGTCTGTGTAAGGTTTTTTTTTATGTCTGTACAGACATAACGTATTTTAAAAGTGTGTAAAAAGTGGGATAAAAATACGTTATGTATGTACAGACATAAAAAAACCTTACACAGACATGCGTAAAAAGTGTGTATACAAAAATCGTGTAAAACTTACACAGACATGTGTAAAAAGTGTGTACACAAAAAAGTGTGTATCTTTCTAATTTTTCGAATCGAATTGTCTAGAGTTCGATTTTAATTCAATTTGACTAAACCTAACCTTATACAGCAATCCCGGCAAGGAGTATCATTTCCCACTAATAATCTTGGAGACAACAAAAGATGGACTTTTGGCACGCGTAACTTGGTTAGAAGGTAATTTCATGGAAGCCAGGTTAGATGCATATGATCGATTGTGCATTAAGTTCTCCACTAATAAACCATTGTCCGGCATTCTTCTCCATATAAACTACGGAGAATTTGGACTACAGAATATTGCGACATGTTTTTGACTTTTCATGATTTAATTAGAGTCCCATATAAAGTCTTGGAAAACTTAGTATGGCAAATTTGATTCAAATCATGCTCACATACAAACTTTTGACCAACTTATTCTTCCATTTGCGACTTTTTGACATCATGAGTCATGACATGTCATTCTTATACAAAACATTAACTAGCATTTGGATTAATGACAAAAATAGAATTCTGAGCTTCTTAATAGATAAAAATAGGAACAATTTTATTTCAGACAAATAAGTGGCTCAGATAAGATGGTTTCACCGAAATGCCCGGCCACATATATCTCTCTCTATGTGAAATCCTAAGCCCAGCGAGTACTTTTTGGAGCGTCCCTTCATCCTCATTCCAGCAACTTGCAACACGTAAGAATACTCCACCGGCGGTGGTGATAGACCCACCACCGGAGAAGGAGACTCCAGAGCCAGTGGCTTGTTGCAACGAAGATGAACCAGCAACAGTGAGCAGCGGTTCAACTGGTGGCACGAATCTTTCCAATCAACTCAGATTTTTACCTTGAATAGGAAGGCTAATACATCGGCAGTAAAGAGTATAATAGGAAAGTCAAAAGAAAAAAGTTTATATCTTAAAACCGGTGAAGTCAAGAACAAGAGGAAGTATTATTTATTAAGCACAAATGGTACGATGGTATATCATCTAGAATACATGAGGTTTACACTTGCAATAAAGTCACTCGATTTCTATCTGTAGTGGGGTGTCTTCTGCTTGGGCTTCAGTGGCGTGATGAATTTCTTGGGTAGCCTCCACAGTCCTAGTGACCCATTCCTTGAGAGGATCTTCATTTAGATCAATTCTTAAAAGGCCAGCAAGCATCCCTCCCATGAAAGCTACGGGTTCCTAAAAAGAATCACAAAAAACCAAATGCAGAGACCAAATGATTATGGCAATATCATTCATATACACTCAACTCATTCTAACTTCTGAGCACACCAAGTTCAAATATCCTCAACATTGGAACTGCTAGAAGCCCCAGCTTAACATCAGCTCAATCTTTCAAGTTTCAACTGTTTAGTCATGTTTACCCACGACTTAATTGAAAACACAACTTACTCATTCTACCAACAACTGACTTATTAGTTCATCCCTAATATGTTACTCCTTCCAATAGGCTGTCTATTTTGTCTTAGATGTGTGTTAACAAAGTACCTTACCCCAGTGCCTTTGCAGCACTGGGGTGATGATGATGGTGGTGTGTTAACAAAGTAAGATTACTCATAGAAAAGGCATTATTATAATACCCTTAAACTGGATATCTTACCTATATAAGATCGTCTATTCAGCGCACAAAACAAACATCCTCTTATACAAATATCACTTAACACATGCACACATCTTTTTTTTGTAGAGACTCCATGGAAAAAGGTAAACAGCTCCAAAAAACATGGGTATTATGCAAGGTCAAGGATTCTCAACAACATTTTAGTCCATATTGTACACCTGTATGGGCAGCATAGGCTATTCTTCCAGAGGCTAGGGAAATTGTTCTTTCATAGGGAGAAGGAAAAAGTAAACTCATGAAGTATACCTAAGAAACATATGACTGAACTTTTTTAGAGCCATTTACACAAATATCCCTAAATAGGAGCAACAATGTTTGTGAATTCCAAAATAGGACTACTACATTTTCATTCCCTAGATAGAACTAAGACCATTTGGAGTGGTGAGGTATTAGGAGTCCAAAATGTTAAAAGTGGAATTTTTGGACTCCAAAATCCTTGTTGTGGTTGGCTAAATGGAGGAGTAAAAATGGAGATGGGGATGGAGGGGGTATATATGAAGGGTGTGGAAGGAGGGAGTCTAAAAAAAGGGAAGAGATGGGGGCAGCACATGTAGTGCGCAGAGGGGAAAAAGGGGGGAAAGGCCTAGTGGCCATGGGATGACGTCATGAATGGATTGAATGTATGACGTCATCATGATGTCATGATGACGTCACACAGCACCCAAATTAAAAAAGTTTGTTAGATCCAATGGTTGTTATGATTTGGACACTGTTTGAACGGGGAAAAATTGATCAAATGACTGAAATTGAAATCCAATGGTTAAAATAATGTATTTTATTTTTCCATTATTTTTAATTAATATTTTGTCCGAACATCCTATATAATGAAATTCATTTTTTTTTATCTAAATGTGTCTTTTTTATTTTATAATTAATAAGAAAAAAAATTAATAGAGAAACATTACTTATAATAATATAATTAATGTTTTACTAAATTGATATGTAAAAAAATGTGCAGTGTATTTTATTGAAGGTACTGGAATGCAGAGAAATAGGAGTCAAAACATTGTTTTCATATGGACGGAGTCCATTTTTGACATTTGGACTCTCCCACCACTCCAAACGGTCTAATACTGCCATGTTTTGGCACTACCCAACATTAAACATGACATTATTTTTCAAACTTGAAGTGATTACTCTTATTTATAGAATAAATATATAATACTCCTGTTTTGAAATTAGAAAACGTTTTTACTCTTATTTCGAGAATTTCCCCAACAATTTAACACAATGTAAATTGGGAATTTCTCTACAAAAAAGGGAAATAAATGAAAGTTATATATTTTAATTCTTTTTTTCTTTCTAAAATCAATTTTTTAATGGCAACATATAACTTAAAAAAATCACCTTTTTCATCGACAAGGATGTGTGTGTGTTCCAAATTTACACTTTTTGTATTCAATTGTTCCAAAAAAGGTTCATGGACAATATCGTTCCTTGAGAATTGAGATATAACTCAGGGGTATATTTGTTTCTTCTCCCTTCTTTAGAATGATTTTCATATTAGTAATTAGGATTATCAGTATATGGTAATATATTAATATTAAATTCTTAGATGTGATAGCCTTACAATTGTATGTTTTCCATTATGATTAGGGCTCTTGTAAATTGTAATGACTATATAAGGGTATTAGGTCATCAAAATTGATTAATAATGGATCTTTTGAGATAGATAGGGCAACAATTACTTCTACCTTAAAGTAATTGGCATTGACAAATGACAACTCTCTTCTCTCTCAAAAATTGATGTAAAGAACTCTCAGCCCTACTTCTCTTCCGTTCCACTGTGATAGACCTTGGACAGTTGGCCGAGATTCCCAACCACGCTCACAGGAGCGCCATATACACATGTATTATTAAACTACTAGATCCTAATTCTTGACACTGATATCCCATAAGTAGGATCAAAGTATCCAACATATACTAGTGTGTGTTTAAAGTGACGTGCTTAATCCTAAAATATTTCATCATTATCTCAGCTTTAATTAGGAAGGTGGTAATAATTTGATAAAACCTGTAATAGGGTTCGCTTCCATTTACGACCTATAATAATGATTTAGGCATTTAAGCAAAAATTAGTCTTACCTAAGATAGAGTGAACTATTTACATGCCCGACATTGTAGACAAAATTTACACATGTAAGCTTCAATATGAACTTTTCTACTCTTTTTTACATGAATTTATAGTGTAGTCTAATTTGAAAATATTAATCAACATTATAAATTGTATGCCGGGCTGGGATGTTGTTGTTGATGATGATCTTCTTTTATAATTCTTATGTTCTTTATTCTTTTGTCCTTTATATATATATATATTCTTTTTATATTTTTTATCTTGTCTTTTTTATCTTTGTCTGACATTTATCTTTATCTTATCCTTTTCATCTGACTTTATCTTTTTATCTTTCTTATCCTTCTTTTTTGGCTCCATTATCATGTATCAATTCATGTTAGTCAACCCCAAATTCTTTTGGGACAAAGGCTTGGATGTGGTTGTTGTTGTATAAATTGTACGCCAGCTAGACCAAATAAGTTGGATTAAGATAAGGGAGAATTTGAGTTTGCACCCCATGTTTTGGGTGATATTTGACTTTGCACCACATTTTCAAAATCATTAATGTATGCACCCCATTAGCCCAAAAATTGTGAAGGAGTGGGGAGCAAAGTCAAATGATTTAATAGTGAATTGAGGTGAATACATTAATGATTTTGAAAATAGGGTGCAAATTCAAATATCATCCAAAACATGGGGAACATGGGGTGGAAAGTCAAATTCTCCCTTAAGATAATGATAATTATGAAGCTTCAGTACGAGCTAGTATGCATCAAGGGGTTGAGGAAAACGAATTGAAATCATCTATCTCACTTTTTCTAGCTTATTGTGTGTCACTCCTTGTAAATTTAATAAGCAATAAATCAGCAGTAGCACGCCTGAAACTCAGTATGCAGGGAACAAAGTTAGAATAATTGCACTGAAGGGTGAAGGGGCCAAACTGCCAAAGCTTCATTAGTTTAATGCACTTTTCAGAGATTACTGGTACAAGAAAAAATCATATTTAAAAAGAAGATGACAAATGTTTATAATTCAGTAAGAAAGTCTATATCAAGTTAAAATGCACATCAACTGGATGGGTCATAAGGTGATATGCCACAAATTGTTATTATTATTATGGTCATGCTATATGGAAATGAAGCCTCTTTCCAGGAGGAACTTTCCAAATAAAGACCACAAAAAGAGATTTGCTCAGAAACAATCAAGCTAAACCTCCTTTGAAAAACATTGCAGAGAAGGCTGTAATTGCAGATACAGGGACAATAAAGTCTAAAGAGGAGCGAATTAGAAAGAAACAGAGCAGAAGAGTACCTTTAGAGCTTCTTTGATGATAGGTTGATCTGGGATTGGGTTGAAGAAACATGCTTTAACCCCAACAGCTCTTGGGGAAAAACTACTTTTCAAACCCCGACGAATATTCCACTGAGAATGATTTTGAGGTCAGTAAATAAACGCACAAGTTAAGCAAAACGCGAAATACTAGGGCGACGGCAAGAGCAAAGGAACTAACAATTGCAGAAGAGGGAGGAGCAAGTAGTATCGACGGTGATGAAACATGACCAAGTAGGATAGCCATCGACGGAAATGTTGGGAGATTCCTGAACTCTTTGACCTCGTGCTACGGAAATCTATTGCCGCTACCGGAAATACCATAGGATCCGGACCGGAACTTGATTCGGGTTCTCCCAAAATAAATCCATACCCCTTCCTATTTCGATTTGTTTGGATTTAACAAATCAATCAAAAGGAACTCAAAAAATCGAAATATATGAGAAAATAAACGAGGGCCTAGGGTTTCCCACATAGCTTCGGAGCGGCGAAAGGTTTAGGTGACTTTGACGGCGGTTCCAGCAAGTCTAGGTTTTCGGCAGGCGGTGTTATAGCTTTCTTGGCACTTTAGTGTCCCGGAGTTTTGCTAGTTTTCCTCATCTGGAGCACAGGGTGGGGCGTGGGAGCATTCGGGATCGGAGGGTTTTGGTGAATCTCAATTGCAGCACAAGGGAGATGATAGAGATCTGGAGACTGTTCGCGTTTGGACTGTTTGTTCTCGTGCGGTATGTTGGCCAAGAGATGGAGGCGAATCACGGGCAGATCAGGGTGTTGAAGGAAGAAGATGAAGGGATGAAGATCCGCCCCCTCCTAAACCGCCACCATGCTGGAAATGGGTGATTAGGGGTCGGAACACCGTGCTGGAAGATTGGGTTCATCGGCTCAATAAGTTCATCCTGCTTAAATTCATGATCCCCATTTTTAGTCCGTTTTCGAAGAAAGTCGTTGTTATCGCTTTGCTTTTGGTATTTGCTTATGGCAATAGGTTTTTTTACATTGATCGATGGTTCGGCTAGATTTGATATTGTTAGTGGGGGACACGTCTATTTTTCAACAATAGCTGCATTATGTTCGTCTGGTGGTTAGTGATTCGTATTGCTCCTTTAGGGGTGATCGTCTCTATGTCTAATCGTAAGGCTAAAAGTAGTAGTTGGAAGGTGAAGGTTGTTGTCAGTTCTGGTCATTTTGAGATTGTTGTAACGATCCTGATTCCAATGACATCAATATAGTCGTTTTCCTTTCAAAAAAATATGAGAAAATATTACCCTCAGTGAGAAAATCGGAGAAAATATAATTTGTTGAAGAGAAAAGGGTAGGTACGCCCCATAGTATCAGTGATTCTGCAAACACAATGATAGGCTCATTGAAATGAAGAAATCAAACTTTATATTTTGATAATTTCTTACAAGAAAATTATCCTCTTATTGGTATCAACAGTTAAAAAAGAATTGAATTCTTTTATTTCAAAGGGTTAAGGGACATATTTGCAAGACCTATTTATTCAACTCTCTAATTGCAAAATCGTTAATTGTTTGAGAGTTTATTAACTTCTTTCTCTGTTGAAAAATTATCAAATATAAGATTTCATAGAACATCAATATGACACCTCACACCCCTGTGGAAAGTGGGTTCTCTCTTTTTTTCTTCTCTTTCTCTCAACATATATCCGCTCGACTTCTCTATTCATCTTTTCCTCTAACTGTGTGTTTAACAGTTTGTAAAATAATTACTTTGTAAGTGAAATGTAGAGACATAAAAGATTAAAGATTACACCGTTTGACTTGATTGTCTAATGTAAATTAGTTGTAGGGCACGGTTTAGTTATAGATCAGCCCATACACCTTGGTCATAATTTTGTTTATTTGGTGTTTTTAAATCTAATTTGGCTCAAAATGTTTAGTTTTTAATCTGTCCTAACATGTTTAAATTTAGTCTTATTTAGTCTTGGTACATATATAAGAATCTACCTTTGAATTTTATGTACAAGGAAAATTAGATTTTTTTGGTTTCTATTCGTGGGTGACTCTTAGAGTATTAGGATGTTGTCACATCCTAATTGAAAATTAGTTTATGTAGAATAGTCAAACAATACAAACCACGAATATTTCCTTGAAATGAATGTGACAACAATAGGGGCGGAAGAAGTAATTACAGGAAAAGGCTAAACCAGCAAAGCAAAACTTCTCCCGAAGAATCATCCAATGACATGAATACGTGATTAATCCATCTTCCAAATTTGTCAATGCAGTTCAATAGCTATGATTTCCAACCAATACAGTTAGGATGTACAGCTCTTATGGCTTCATTCTAAGATGCCAACTAATACAACAATATCTTATCCTACTAGACTACTACTACCCATGAACTTAAGAGGATCAATGATCTTATTACATGCTGTTTAAAAGCATTGCATATGAGGAAAACACAGCGGTTTGCTTGATGTACAATCAGTAATGAACACCAATTTTCCAGATCCAGTGATGCATGAAAATCTCTAGTTTAGCTGCTCATCCTTTCCGGAGTAATGATAACGGAAAACACATGAGAAGTCTTTGTTCTCATAACCATCATCACATAGCTTTGCATATCTGGGAATTTTTTCTTGGACATTTAGTCGATGTGCACTATGATTATCGAGCAACATTTATATGAAAAAGAGGATTACATTCATTAGCTGTACTAAGAACAGTTGACAGGAGTTGTACTGGTGGAATGCCAGAGAGGTGCGATGTTTCAAAATCCTACAAAGTATACTCCCTGTGTCCTATTTCAATTCTTACTGGTATCTTCCTTCTTATGTCATTCTAAAATAATACTAGTGTCTACTTTTCTAATATAAACGCCACTAATTGACTACCTTTGTCCCACTATCCTACATGAGAATATTAAAGAGAGAAAGATAAACATATAGGACTTCACTTGCCTAATGGATTGGATTGAATCTTTTAGTGTGACTAAACCCAGGTTTTATTCCAGTTGGCTGATCCTAATCTGATCCTCAATTCTTTCCCGTATAACTTTTAAACACGACTTGATTGTGACATTGTGTGCACCAAAAGTAAATCTGTTAAGATGGAAGGAATAATAAAGTTCAAAATAAAGACATACATTTCTTCTGCTTGTGCTGTCAAAGGGAAACTGAGTCCCACACTCTTAGCTGATGCCTGAGCAAGGTTTATATCTTTAAGCTGAAACCAAAGAGAGGGAAACACAATACACTCATGAGAAATAGATATAGTTCCTTCCAAATTGAATCCTTCAACTGTGGCATTGTTCTACTTTTAGTCCAGACGTTAAAATTTTCAATATTTGCTCTCTCGGCTATTTGTACATCATTGTAGACTCAAATTGTTAAATTCAATAACTGGGTATGCTACATCATCAAAAATGGATAAACCTATTTAGAATGATTTTAGACTTGATGACAATATTTAAAAAGAAAAAAAAACCAGTGATCTGATCTGGAACAGTTCTCGGAATATTTACAATATTACAACAAAATGGAATCACACGATGTATGATTTTCAAGGAAAGTGTTCGCTGTTTGTAAAAGAGCAAGATTTTTTTACACACAAACAAAAAAAACATGTTGTGCTACACTGCTACATACCATCAACTTGGACATGAAACCTCCCTCATAATTCCTTGAAGAGGGCACCCCATCCATTACACCAGGAACGGGGTTATATGTGTCACTGTCATTGCATTCTCATAAATGGAGTGAAGGTCACAGTCCATACAAAGAAATAAATCAAAATAATATGATCAGCAGAAATCTAGGCATCCATTAGGCAGATAAAGGTCAAAGTCCATGCATCATATGCAACTAAGCAACATAGAGAGTCTTCTTCCACAATACATCTCCATGTTCCTTTCGAGCGGCTCTATCATGAGATGGGCCTGTCTATCACTATGTAAGAGTAGAAGAAAAATGTTTTCCTTTCGTGAGGGGTTTCTATGGCAGAGTATGATCTCAAACCCTTAGTGTTGGCACTTGGCAACAACATATTCTATGCTTGTATGCCTAAGGTAATAAGGTTCGAACACATTGCCTCAAAAGAGATATTCCATTCATTTAGTCAAAACATGTGTCTTCTTGCTCTGTTTCGAATTCACGTTCTTTACTAGTAATAAGATATTATTACGGAGTGACGGAGTGTTTTAAACTTTAGGCTTGAATTCACCAAGTACTTTGCTACTAATTGTGTGAAGTTGGTTGGCAATCTTTATATTAGGAGAGCACCCACCAAATAACTTTTTCTCTACAAAGTTCAAGTCTGGTTGGGCATATACCAAGTTGGAAGGCAGTACGGGCTAAATTAAATATTTTACTACATTTTATAACTGCAGATTGGCAGAGGCATACAATACAGCAGGAGAGTGCTGTTTTTGTGTGCATAAGTATCTATTAAGAATTAGAGAAATGGTCTTAAATAAGACCATAACTTTACCAAATACACCGTATAAGACCTCCCACTTTTTAAAACCCAAATACGACTTGTTTTTTAATTAATACCAAATTTACCCATGATTTAATCCCACGGTCTTCCATTTAGTTTTGTTTGAGACGTACGCTGTCAGTGTCTAACATAAGCGCTTCTCAGTCTGCTCCTGCCTCTTTATTCTAACGCGGACAAGGCCTCCGGTGACGGCGGCCGCAATAGGAACGCCGGCCAACCACCGTACTATCAGACTTCCTGAGTTCTTCCGTAATATTTTCCACCCCATCTAGAAGGTTCGATCTTTCTCGTTAGCACCGAAACAGGTCAGCCCGCCGGAACACCGTCTAGCTCATCACGTTCGTTTTCTAGCAGCTTTTTTAACGACAGACGAATCCGTGCCGTTGTCCAACTACATATCACCTGAGAGCAGATTCTGGTTGAAAATTGGACACACCGGCCGGATCTGTCCGTTGTAGAGATTTGGACACACCTGAAGTCGAATTTTGAACCTTTTCGCTCTGTTTCTCTAACTCCCGTCGCTATTAGGAGTTTGCTAGCTAGGAGCAAACTGAAAGCAAAGAAATAAGGAATGTATTTTATTGTCATTGACATTCTTATGACATTGTCATTGACATTCTTATGACATTGATTTTTATTGACATTCTTATGACATTGTTATTGACATTGTTTTTTAGTGACATTCTTATGACATTATCATTCTTATGACATTGTTTTTTATTGACATTCTTATGACATTGTCATTGACATTCTTATGAGATTGTCATTGACATTCTTATGACATTGTTATTCACATTGTTTTTAGTGACATTCTTATGACATTGTCATTGACATTCTCAGGGATGGACTGGGCCGAGTCGAACCGGACCGGCCCGCTACTGTGATTCATATTGATATTCTTATGACATTGTGGTTGATATTATTTCTAACATTACAATATTCTAAAATAATGATATTGATTATGACATTGTCATAATTTTTTATTTTGAGAGTGACAGGATTAACTAGCAAAACCGGACCTATTACTTCCTCGGACCAATTAATTCAATGTGAACATCTCCAAAATATGACAAACCAAACCAATGGCTGTGGTGCATCTTCAATCTCCATACAAAATAATTGTATTACTTGCACTAAATGAATTTGCAAATAAAAAATAAAAAATTGAGATGTAAGCCAACAACAAAAAGCAACTAGTTCAAGACTGCTACAGTGCTACTAGTGCGGAAATCCTTTCTTATTTCTATTGATGAGGAAATCCTTTCTTATTTCTACGGTGCTACTGGCACTAAGACGAGCTCATAAAAGCAGGCATACGACACCGAAGAAATTCGCAAACAAAGAGGAAGAGATGGAGAAAGGTGGAGGAGGAGAAGGGCTAGGGGAGGAGGATCGGAGGAGGAGACTACTCGCCGGCCTGATGTCGGCAATTGCTCCGGTGATGACTTTCACCGCCTATAACCTGGCGGAAACCAGCGGCGAATCGCAGATAATTTTACCTGCGGGTTGCAACCAACCAGAATAATTGCTCCTTTGAATTTGTTTGTTAAATCTCGTCGTTACCAGACTTGCAAAAGCGGATGGGTGGTGTCTTATGTTGAGAGCAGAATTTGTTGGGAAACGGAGGGGTATTTTTGTCTCAGAGTTCAAAATTAGTCCTATTTAGGAGTTTAAAAACTTTGAGTCCTATTTAAATTCGCCGCTCCACTTTTAATCCTATTAAGGTCTATTTGAATTATCACACATAAAAGTGTACACAAATATAACATACGTAGTATCTATCTTTGGTAGGAAACTAATTGCAACTAATACCTGCTCCAACAGCGGGCACTGGAAGAATTAAAAACTTGTGTGAGAGTACTTGATGTGATCCCTAGTGACTGTCCAAGGGAAAATGCTTCAGATACCCCAAGCATACTTACTGCCATTGCCAAATTGTTGCAGACTTTTGCTGTCTGACAAAAGTTAAAAAGGAGAACTATTATCTACCAAGACGAAGTTTGCTTACACCGCATTAATACAAATGGCAAAGAGGCCTTCCAATGGAGATTTTATCATGTCAGACTCAACTATGCAAGACTGCCTGCTCCATGATTCATAAAATAGTTTGATTGTTCTACTTTGAACTTTGGATTTCGGGGTAAGGTTTGTACTTCATACCAGTTAGGTAACCTACTGTCAAATTGGTGTAACTCATAATGCAAAAGCATTCACATCCACTAGGTTTGCAGAAAGTTTCTAGCTAATAAAACCATAATGAGGGACTGACAATGATATCATAGGGTAAGTAGCTAAAAAACAGATTTGAATAGAGTATAGAAACATACTGCACCGTTTCCAGATCCACCACAATAAATGGTGCTTTTTCCCATTGACAGAAGCAAGGGTTTTGCAGCTATGTAAGCTTCTTCTGAGCCACCAACCTGAACATCATGCCATATTTTGTTAATCAGTTCAAATGATGAAAAAGAATATGACCACATGATGGTAACTGAAATTATTAGAGGGAAAGCCTCTGGGTCTGTTAGAAATATGATGTTATACCAACCAGGAATGAATTAAAAGATTGTAACCCCTTTTTGCTAATACACCTTACGAGCAGCTGAAGTGCATTGGAAGTTGGAACTTTGTATTACTACCTCCGTCCCACTAATTTCTAAAGTACAAATACTTGTGATATTGGTTTGGAAAACATATTTGTGGACATTGATTATGTGTTTTTGTAATCTCGAGGATTAAACTTCGAGATTACAATCTCGAGGTTTAAACTTTGAGATTACATTGGGACATGAGGAGGTGGTGCAGTTATTAAGAAAAGTGAATTTATGTGGTTGATATTGAATTGATAAACTAAGAATAAAGTAAGAATGATATAGAAACACACAAATTTACCAAATTTGGTATCAGACGATCTTAGTGGAACGGATTGAAAAGGAAAGATGGGACAATTTTAGCGGGACTTAGGGAGTATTTATTTCCTAGTTTTTAGAGTTTAGTTTCTTTGTTCCTCAAAGTTTTTAAGTTTACTCCCTCTAATTTAGATCCCATGCTGAGATACAATATCTATAAACCAATCATCTAATCAATAAGAAGAAGATTTATAAACCATCTTCCTGGTTTATTATGTGGTATTGATACATAAAATTATAAACCATCATGGTCAATGACAGGGAATGCATAGGAAAAACTTAGGAAAATTACCCAAAATAGGGGCAAATGACACTTGGAATTCCAAAAATAGGACTAGTATGTTTTTCTTCCCGAAATAGGAGTTATTACTGTCATGTATGAAAAATACTGCCATGATTGAAAAATACTGTCATTAATTATAATAAATACGGTCATGTTAAATGCACTGTACTGCAACTATTTGGCAGTCACCGCTACAAGATGACAGTAAATACTGCCATGTTAGTCCCATTTCGGGAATAAAAACAAAGTAGTCCTATTTTGGAATTTCAAACTTCATTTACTCCTATTTTGGGAAATCTCCCAAAGCTTATTCTCCAAAAACACAACAGCAGCCACAACAGAGAATTTACTACTTCATTCAACTTCAATCACTTAGAAGACAAAACATAGATACCATGAAAGTAAGATTTCCAGTCTCTGCAGCAAGAACACCACCTGACACAGGAGCATCGAGCATGGAAGGAGCATGCTGGCCATCTATAAAGAAATTTTTTTACTTTGCTGAAAAGTTAAAATGGTGCGGAGTGCGGACACCTTGCTTACAAAACTAGCACTATTAACCACAAGGAGTTAAATCAAGATTTGGCTACTTGTTGGCATTATAAAGTTAAAGACCACAATCTTGGAAATTTTGGAGCCAGATTCGTCTTTGTTTGATATTGGTAAAAAATCATATTCTAAAGAACTGGGAATCGAGTAGCATAACAGGCTATCTCCTATGCTTTTGTCAACTGATACATGAGCTTATAACCATGTAGAGGCTGTCGATGGTTTAAAAATTTATATATATAAATATATAATTGTAAAAGATAAACTGATAGGGCATTAGCCCCTTGTGATTTAAAAAATGTGTCAAATCCCCTTATGTTAGAATTACGCAAAAGCCCCTCAATGAACAAATTTAATTGCCAAATAAAAGCAAAGTGATAATTATTTTTGCATAATTTAGATATCTAGACAAATTTACTTGCACATTCAATCATAATATTAATACAAATGATTTCCAAGCTGTTAAATTTGTTCTTGGAGGGAGTTTTGCGCATGAAATTTTTTGACACGGGATGGTTTGATGCATTTTTTAAATCAAGGAGCTAATGCTCCAAATTTATATGTCATGAGGGGGTTTGATGCATTAAACCCAAACTAATAGTGTATGGAGTGAAAAGAGAAAAAAGGAATGAAGATGCATCAATATTTTGAGCCCATTCCATAGCATCAAAACGGTGTACCCCTTTACTCTATGGATGGAGAATTAAAATTAAGAAAAGACAGACAACCAAAAATAGAACTCTAAACCTCTAACCGCAAGAGTAGGATACTGTTTATATTCAAATGTCATTTAAAAGTGCCATGTGAATAGCTCAGCTTTATGCAGCACAAGCTATTCCAAATTTCCAGGGAATAACAGAAGAATGGAAGAATAGGAGACAGAAACTGTGTGTTAAATTTAGCTAAATGATATGAAAATGTCATGAAACAACGTTGGAGCATCCAACCAAGAAGGATAGATAGCGAGCTATAAATCTGAATGCCTACAGAGTGCTTTAAATGTAGAAAAATGAAACATGAAGGCATTATTTGTTCATACTTCAATAGACGTACCTTTCTTCTCTTTCAAAAAGCAGTCAGAGACTGCTGCAAATACATTTCTTGATGTCTGAGGGTCAATTGTAGAGGAATCTATAAATAACCATGGCCTTACTCGATTTCTACCAGTGAGCAAACCATCTGCTCCAGTGTAGACATCAAGTACCTAAGAAAGTAATGTTAACTTTCCTGAATGGGCTGTGGAATTAATGGAAAAAACAATAGTATAAACCTGAAGTAAAAAAATAGCAACTCTAGACATTTACCAAAATAGTATAATAATACTATAATAGCTGATAGCAAGCATACTCTAATAGTGTTTTATAGCCAAGCAGAAAAGAAAAGTTATTCAGATATATGAAGATGGACCAAATTGGACACTATGGTCAGATGACAAATTGACAATCTCATTTTTGACATTAAGAAAATGGACCAAATTGGACACTGTATACACATGTGAATCTCATATTGAACATCAAGGTTTCAAATGGAATAAATAAGCGCGAGTTTAACGTTTTTTTGGTCGTTATTTATCACCCACCAAAGTTTTCCATCCTCTATCAATGAGAGCCATTAGTATTCTTTTTCCTTTGTTTTTATACCTAAAATTAAATTAGTTGATGTACTCAGTTTAGAAATATATAATTAGATATTCCAATTAAGAAAATGGACTTTTCATTTCATATGATCTTTTTGGAACTTTGGGAAATATCGATTTGTTAAATTGAATTAACGAAATTAGTTACCGTATATGGTGTAATATATTCTAAACGAATTCCACCAATTAAGATAGTTTATTGACACCAAAAAAAGAAAGGAAAAACAAGAATGTCCGGTTTCTATTGATGAAAGAAGAGGACCGTGAGTGTCCAGAAATGACCAAAAACGCTAGAATCGTGTGTATTTGAATCATTTGAAACCTTGGTGGCCAATATGAGATTCACATGTAACCATACTTCCAATTTGGTCTTTCTCCCTTCGTATATTGATTGATGGAGATATGGAATGGCGCTTTCATGCTTCTCAAAAAAAAAATGATATATGAATGCTGCCAAAACTTGCAAAATAATGGCTTGGAAAGATGCATTCGTAATGTCTCAAATGTACCTTTTCTCCATATTTCACTTTACTCTCTCTCAGAATAGAAATCAGATCTAAATGGTCAGTGGCCTTCCAATAAACCTAAAGGACATGTGAGCTGGACCAGACAGATTAGGCCTAGCTTTGCATTACACCAAGAGAAGGAATATCTAAAGCAATCCGAATTCAAACTTTTTATTAGCTTTAGTTCTCCATGTCTTTCCCCTCAATAATTCTACTAGAATTACATTCTTGACTCAGTTACTCAAAAGTGATACCCCTGGTTCATGGAAGGCAATATTTTGTTGTCGTGTTTGAATTATTACAAAAGATAGGAAATCATGAATGTGATCTCACACAGAGCCTTGGCAGTAGGCACACAGGTAAGTTGTTCCGTATGAAAGAGTTTGAGATGAGTTATTTAGTTATTTTCGAAGAGTAAGTGCTTTTTATAGAAAAAATGTACTTTTATTTTAAAAAGGAAGTGCTTTGTCAGGAAATGGGGAAAATCCTTATAACAATAAAAACATTTTGAATGCTTATATACGAACACAGCAAACTGATGTTAATCAGAAAAGCACATAAAGTGATTATATGAGAAAGCACTTATGATAAAAGCACTTCAAGTGTACTTAAATTATCACTTATGGCTCTATGCCTGATTTTCCCTGAATACGTGAGAAAACCACCTTGTCTATAATGATATTTCTTATGAACTGAATGATAGATCATTGTTCGTGTTTTTTCCTTATGAGCAGTATAAGATGGCCAAAACAGCAAAGCTTAAAATAACAAATGGCAAGTATAACTTACATGGTTTGATGATGGTAACATTGTAATTACAACATCAGTTGTCTCTGCAAGTTCATTAGGTGATCCTTTTGTAGGAATTCCTTTGTCAGAAAACCTCTTCAGCACATTCTTGTTGCTTGAACGTAACAGAAAATGAATAAGAAAATAGTCAAAGAAAAGCTTCCACTAGCATAATATTAGATACAATTGAATACTTGGATAGTTGGATGTGAATAATAACAAACATGCAATGTGAATGCAAATTTGCATAGATATACAGCACATCGTCATTGGCCTACAGAAAAATTCAGGCCCCATGTCACCCGTGTCTGGTCAAAAAAATTGTGTAAATTTTTTACTATAAAAAATACAAATTACATTATTTACTTCACCCACCCAACTTTGTACTACCTCCGTCCCAGAAAATTCTTCCCACTTTGATTTGGCACGGGGATTAAGAAAGTGGAATAAAGTGGAAATGTGTGGTTGTAGTTGTGTAAGAAAAAGGTGAAATGAATGTGAACCACACAAATTGTACAAAAATGGTAAGTGGGAAGAATTTTTTGGGACGGCCCAAAAAGGAAAGTGGGAAGAATTTTATGGGACGGAAGGAGTATTTAGTTAAACCCTTCCTCTGCCAATTGTACAACATTTCTTCTGAAATTGAAAGACATAACCGTCCCTTTTCTCATATGCAAGTCACAATTGTGAACTGTGGACTCAACTTGGAATTGACAGACAACAAAAAAACTATGAATAAATGATGATAAAAATTGCTCAATATAGGACCAAAGCTTAGGTAAAGTTCAAAAATAGGATCAAGTATGCTTTGTTCCCCAAATAGGACTTATTGAGTCCTATTAAAAGAATAAGCTGATTGAAACTTCACAACATAGGAGTAAATGGGTCCTATTTTGAGAATAAAAAATAGTAGTCCTATTTATGAACTTTATCCTTGTTTTAGTCTTATTTAGAAAATTTTCTCTAACTTATTTTCCAGACCCACCCAAATTTGAATTCAGTGGAGCCCTGCCTCTGCCTATTGCAAAATATCTCTTCCTAAAATTGAAAGAAATAACTGTCCCTTTCTCATATGCTAGTCACAATTGTGGACTCCACTTGGAATTGGCAGACAATAAAAAAGTGCACATAGAGAGTACGATATGGATATATACTGGGGAATAAACAAAATGGCATTACATGTCGTGAACAGAAACATTATATCCAGCATTTATCAAATTATCAGCCATTCTTGATCCCATGTTCCCTAGCCCTATGAATCCAATCTTCTGTAAAATAATAAAACATAAATGCAAGGAATTCATAATCTAAACCCACATTATGCAAGAACTTCATAATTTAAACTCTGAAATTCAAAGCCATTGCTGTAAATGAACACAACTTGCGAGAGAGAGCCAAAGTAGCAATATTTAGTGTCCGTGACTGGTGCGCCAAAATATGAGGAGTCTACTTGCACAATTGCATCAGAATCACTGATCAAGGACAGGATCAGCCAGAAAGGGTAAGGACCAATGTTTTTAGAGACATGCCATTTCAAAAAATGTATTTACATAAATTAAAATATATATAAATAAATAAGATTATGGGCCATTTTAGAATTATGAGCTAATTGATCATCTTGAATTTTCTTAACTTTTCATAAAGAAATAGTAGAGTAGGGGTCCATTCGAGTCGAGTTGAGCTCGAGTAGTGCAATAAACATGCTCGAGCTTGAAGCATTGTGAAGCTACCTAAACTGAACTCAAACTCGATCAAGTAGATCGTTTTGTACTTGAACTTGACTCAACAAACTAAAGAAAACTTGATACTCAACTAGAAAACTTGAATTTTGTGCAACCTTTGATAAAAAAGTGCGTTTATTTATAAAATTGAAACCACGTGTTTTTTTAAAGTGCATTCTTTACAACTGCTTAATATGTAGTAGCTTATCATAAAAGTGCATTTCGCATATTTCACAAGTTAAGAATATTTTTTATTATTTAACCACACTATATACACACACATATATGAAGCACAGAGACTCTCGTTTCCGTTTCAAGGATTCTTTGGAATCTCTCTAAATAGTTAATATATACTTGTGTGTGTGTGTGTGTGTGTATATATATATATTTGAATATACTTGTCAAGCTTTCAACTTGCAGAAATAAAAGATCGAACTTGACTCGCTATCAAGTCATGTTCAATCCAAGCAGTCTATCAAGTAGCTTGCAACTACTGCACACTACTTGAATCTCATACACCCCTAAGAAATACTAGTCATGTTTTCTTGCTTTCTGCTTCTAGAAACAGCTTCAAATTAATTTGATCATGTAACCGGCGGTTAAAAAAATGTCTTTTTGACTAATGCTCAAAAGTCAAAACACCTTATTTTTAAGTTAATATTGAATTTCCTCATGGGCCCCACTGATCAAAGAGCAAGACCCTGGGTAGAGATTACCCCATTTCAACAATATTAAGATGTGGATAAAGATAAACAGGGAGCTTGATATTTGTAGATTAATGGGGATAAGAGGGAGCTCGCTCACTTCAAAGGGATAAGAGCTGTGGCTGTAGGTGGTTGAAGAAGTGAAGAACCGCGCAGCAGGAAAGCAGCACCGGCGGCGGATGCATTTGTCTGGTGACAGCAGCGTTCTCAAACGTGCCAAGGCGGTGGACATTGTTTCTTCTTCAATCTTAGCTTGAATCCTGTAAGGGGAAATGGGAGGGAGGGGAAAAGAAAAAAGTAGCCTTTATCATTTGTTTTGATTTTCTCTTTATATCCAAAAGAAAATTACCCCTACTATTCGGTAAAAAATTGAGAGCTTTCCATTCAATAAGGTAGAGAGATTTTCATTCAGCACAAAGGAATATTTTAGTTTTTCGCTTCCCTCCGAACTTCAACTTTTACAATTACGGTACTACTTCTACCTATAAATAAACTAATTTAAAAAATCCAACTACTTCTAAAAATAGAAATCATCATCTACTTTTTTCCTTCTTTAATGGAGTCTTCTGCCATTAATGTTTCTGCTCAATCGAGTGCGGACCCACTTCCTGAAGGAGAATTCGTAGTTGAACCTTCAAGACAAAACACACTTATTACTCATTGAAATCATTGACTTAATTGAGGATGTAGCAACAAAAGGGGGGATCCAGTCAAACAGGCCACAAAATATGGCCTAAGTTGACCTCTGAAACTCACAACAAGATAATTGACAGGTTATTGGATGACGTCGTTGAAAGTAAACTTGAGAGAGGTGTGATAACAAAATTGGCCACCCAGTTTAACTGTCACGCCCCATACCGCATCTAAGCGCATGTGAAACCGTCGTACAATCAAGTGACGACACCCGCGAGTCACACTCACTTGATTGAACAAGGCGTCCATGAATTTCGTTCATACCATGCTCAGTAAGTAAACATACATAACAACATCACAATATAGATTGAATGAATAGCGAAAATATTCAATAGTCAATCATGGGCCACGTATGGCAAATTGTGGGCTCGCAGGCCAAAACAATGTATTCATTACAAAATATCCATGAGCATAGTTTATAGTTTGAAAACAATAAAGGAAGCAAGAACCATGTCTTCCTTGAGATTCCTTCACCAAACAAAGGTGTGGATGGCAACTCTAGCTTCAACCTGAAATGGTGGGGGGGCGAAGGGGTCAGTACGAATATCGAGTGAGTAGCAAGCTAAATGTAGAATAACTAACGTTTCAAGTATAAGACTCAAACATAGGGTGATACATATACGTGTAGTCTTCCCCCAAGTTATGAAATACATATGAATACATATACACTTGGAAATACCTGACTCGTAGGTCGTTGTTTGTTTGGGAAAATAGTAGTACTCAATGTCATTGACTTAAATTCCAACCCACCCATATACTCATGAGTGTATAGAACTCCTCTTGGTCCGAATCAATTATCATAAGGACACCACCCGATCCTTGCTCATTAGAATATAATCTATGAGTTTTGAGGATATATGTCCGATCCTTGGGTCCTCCACCCGACATAACCGAGTTTTGAGGGTACACGCCCGACCCTTGGGTACTCCATCCTTCATCACCGAGTTTTGAGGATACACGCTCGATCCTTGGGTACTCCATCCGACCTATGACTTACCACAAATCACACTAGATAAAGCCTATATCATATTGTTACTAAAGACTAGACCAAGTCTTAGAATTAAATCAATAGATATCAAACCTTGGCATTTAAATATCATATTTCATGCAATTACATGCACAATATACATATATAGGATGGTCGGGGTTAATCCCTCCTTAAAACGGGCCCCGATCCGCATTTTCGGCGAAAACGGGACTCGATGGTAGCAGCTTAGCCGGCACCGGTTAAATCCTACAACCGGCGCCGATTTAGTCTCTTTATTCGGGTAAACGGCCCGTTGACCCCCAAAACGTGCTCGGTTCGGCCCGAAACTTATACACAACTTGTATAAGGTCTAAAATAATCAATAAATGTCATTTTGGCCATTCAAAACATTACACATGTTTTTATATATATTTTTATCTAATTACATGCATAATATTCCATTTTAGTTCACATAAGCCCGATCACCTTGGCTAACCATATGCTTAAACGCTTTTAAACATCATCATAAATACTTATAACATTAATTTAGGTAATTTCATACTTAACCCAAGAGTTACAAGACATTAAGTCGTCCACTCACCTCGAATAAGCTTTATGAAGTTCTACTCTCCTCGGTTGAACTCTGGCGATAACTCCAGCGACTCTTTCAACTCCGTGAAAGTACTAGGAACACCTTAGTCAAGCTCATATCAAGGTTTTAACATCCCAAAACCCATATCAACACAAATAACCACTAGAAGGTTATTTTCCGATGAACCGTTCACTTTGGCTTCAAAGTCCGTTCTTGGACTTAGAACTACCTTCCGACCCCTCTTTCTACACTTCTAAACATGTAGAACAATCCTAGAGGTCCTCCGTATGGTATATAAGTCATATGATAGCTAAAGAGTAGAGGAAAAGTTAATATAAGGTGATTACCTTAATCACCACACTTTTTCCTCCCTTTTTCCTCCCTTAAACTTCCTTCTTTGCCTTCCTTGAGCTTGAGTCCGAATTTAGCTATGGAGTATGATGTTTGCAGAGCCTTTCTCTTTCCTTGGGGTGGTTTGGACGCACAAAACAATGGGGGAGGGAGTGAGGAGACTTCTTTTGTCTCAAATGGCAAATAAGTGAGGAGGGAGACCCACCTTAGTTCAACTCTCACCCAACCATCACCCTCAGCCCACACACACCTCACACCCATGTTTTTGCAGCCCCCCTTGTCATCTTTGAGCTCTCAAAATCGTGGGGTGGCCCCCACTCATGTGGGAGGTCATCCCATTATGCTCTGATGTGTGCAATCGGCCCCGAAAGTTGTATTTCTCGGACTGTTTTAATTATATTTTATTTATCGGGTCAAATAAAATATAACACATGTTCCTAATCATTGTAGGAATTTAGAATGGATGTACATTACCCAACTTTAGTTTATATGTCTCCAAAATTCAATTACGGGTTGTTATCTGATAAAATATCGATACTGGTACATGGGCTCTGTTTGGCCACTTGGTCAACTATAGGGCACTCTTATAGTCCAATTTGAATATCCACCACCATATACATATTATCTAGACCAAGATGAATATCATATGTGGTCTCGGAATATCGGGTGGCCCCCGCTCCCAGTGTGGGCCCACGTGCAATTTACTATTTACGCAAAAGAAATAACAAAAAATTACAACCTCGTAAATCCATAAATCATTCTCCAAGGTTTATTACATGATTTACTAAAAAGTAAATATATTTGGGGACGGTATTACAAGTTCACCCCTCTATTTGGGATTTCGTCCCGAAAATCAATGTGTCTAGTAAAAAAGAAACGGGTATTGCTCCCTCATTGAGACCTCGGTCTCCCATGTTTCTTCTTCAACTCGATCACTCCTCCATAGAATCTTTACCATATGAATATTCTTGTTCCTCAATTTCTTCATTTGTTGGCCAACAATCTTCACCAGTTCTACTGCATATTGCAAGTCCTCCCGGATCTCTACCGGTGGTTTCTCAAGAATATGAGATGGATCTCGTACGTACTTCTTGAGCATGGATACATAAATGAAACACGTCATGTATCTTCTTAAGGAAAAATCCTTAGAAATACTTCATCACCAACTGCAAACTCTAACGGCCTACATCTTGGGCAACCTTAAGTCTATCCTGAATGATCTTCATCTTAGCCTTGGTGATCTCAACAAGTTCTATACCTTCGAGTTTGGGCTCGCCAACCTTGTCCCAACACAACGGTGTCCTGCATTTCCTCCCATACAATGCCTCATATGGAGGCATGCCAATACTCGCCTGATAACTATTGTTATAGGTAAACTCTACAAGAGCCAAATGTTTGTCCCAACTCCCTTGGAACTCCAAAGCACATGCCCTAATCATATCTTCCAAAATTTGTATCACCCGCTCGGATTGCCCATCCGTCTGTGGGTGAAACGTCGTGCTAAACTTAAATTTAGTTCCCAACGACGCTTGAAACTTTGGCCAAAATCTGGATGTGAATCATGGGTCTCTATCCGAAACAATGGATATCGGAACTCCATGCAATCTCACAATCTCCTTCGTGTATAACTTGGTCAATCTTTCAAGAGGATAAGTAATGTTGATAGGCAAGAAGTGTGAACTCTTGGTAAGCCTATCGGCCACTACTCATACCGCATCGTAGTTGTTCACCGTTCGTGGTAACCCTACCCTGAAGTCCATGGTCACATGTTCCCACTTCCATTCTGGAATGGTAAGTGGTTGCAAAAGCTCTGCTGGGTGCTGATACTCTGCCTTAACTTGCTGACAAGTAAGGCACCGACTCACATACTCTGCGATGTCCCTCTTCATACCTGACCACCAATAGCTTTCCCTTGGTGGTTGATGGGATCCGTAATTTTGGGATGAGTCGTAAATAACGACTCATTGGGCTCAAGGAATCTTGAGTTTCACCCACTCTTAAAAGAAATCTAAAGTATTACTTTTGGAGGAATTGAAGAATGACATTATCTATTGAGAAAATTATTTTGAGACATTAAGTCATTTTGGAAATATGAGAGGGTACATTTCTATACATATACAAAACCTATTTTCCAAATTATATTATTTTACGGGTTCGAGTGGAATCTTGCTTAGCAATAAAGCTAATTTTCGTCTCTTTTGTCTTCTTCTCTTTGCTCTATTGTACATATGATTATGATTATGAAGTTTGATGTACTTGCTGCCCGAGTGTTCCGCTAGTTGCACACGTTTGATTAATTATCGTTGTTTAAATTTGTAATTCATAAACTTTGTCCTAAGATATATCTGATTGTTATTTGAACTTATGGTGGATAACATGTGCACTCAATCATGTATAGGTTGAGGGTGGCGGTGACACACCTGTTTTTCCCTTAAAGATTTCCGCAGTACTCTAAATATGTTTTTATAATAAAGATGATTTCATTTAAAAATGTGATTTTATTTGAGTGTGAAAAATGAGGGTGTTACAATAAGTCTCCTCACAATTGAGGAAAACCTTAAGCCACGATTCTAGCTTTATATCTCACAATTGTGTTCTTTTCATTGCGCTTTCGCACAAATACTCATTTAAAACCCATTGCTTTTACGCCTTTTAGCATTGGGACTATCAGTCCAAAAACATTATGTTTTTTCAGCGATTTCAAGTCTGCCTGAATTGCTTCATTCCATTTTAGTCAATCATGTCGTTTTCGACATCCCTGAATTGGTGTTGGCTCATTCTCATTGTTTTCGTTCACGACATTTGTGCCAACGACATAGACAAATATCTCATCAATGCTGGTGGAATTCGGCCGGATAAACCTGCAA